TGTCAGGAGCAGGGGTGTTTCTGGCCGGCGCGGGCAGAGCGCCTGGTGTTGCTCCCTCTCTGCTCCTCCCGCTGCCGGGGCTGCGCACTGGGGACAATGCGTCCCCCTCCCTCGCCCGACCCCCCCTGCTGCCACACAGAGCCCCATCCTCACCGGGGGCCTGTTCACGAGCCAGTACGCCTGCTCCTGGCACTCAATGACGATGCGGTCGCCCTTCCGCCGCTGCTTGGCCGCCCTGCACACGCAAAGCTGCAGGGCTCAAGGAGCTGCCATCTGGGCACCTCCGTGTCCCCCATCTGCGGCAGCCTGGCTGTCAGTGCTGCCCTTCCCTGGCTGTGCTCACCGGAGCTGCTCCCGGGCCTGCATGACCACGAAGTCCCACGTGTGGTTGATCCTCTTGTGCAGGAGGTTGTAGTTGTCCTGGGGGCAGCGGCGTTGCCTGCACTGAGCACAGCTCAGCACACACAGCAGCAGCAGCTCTGCCCGCTGGCTGAGCACCAAGTCACCCTGGCTGCGGCCACCCAGCTGCTGCCCGGGTGAGCTGAGACCACAGCTCATTACACACAATGGCTGGGCCAGCTCTCACCTTCTCGTGCTCAATCAGGTCACCCTGCTTGCGGATGTTCTTCTTGGCCAGGTAAATCGCTGGAAGAGGAGCAGCAGGGTGGCAGCACGGGCACCAGGGCCTGGCACAGCACAGCACCCTGGCCCGGGTTGTGGCCATACGTACCATAGTCCAGCTCCGTGGCTGGCCACTTGGTGCTGGTCCAGAAATAGGGGGTCTGTGGGGAGGAAGGGGGGGACATGGATGGGCTGTGCTGGTCCCTCGAGGGGCCGCTCGTCCTGGGCGCCAGCCCCAGCCCTGCTGCGCACCTGGAAGCGGTAGGGCGACTCGTCAGCACGGAGCACGAGGCTGCGGGGGTCTTTGAGGGGGTAGATGTAGCCGTGCTTCACCAGGAGGTTGCCAAGGTGCAGCGCCTCTGCGCGACGGGAGCAGGCGATGGAGAGCGGCTGGGGACCCCGAGCTCCCGCTGTCCCCCCGGCGCTGGCCCGTCAACGCCTGCCGCTCACCCTCCTCGGAGATGCCGTACTTCTGGATGAGCCACTCCACAATGTCGTTCCCTGGGGGACAAGGACAGCGTCACTAGGAGGGACAGGGGTCTGCTGGCCATGCTGGGCGCAGGTGGGCTCCTGGGACAAGGAGGTTTTAGCAGGGGGCACATGCTGGGGCAGCACTATGTGCCAGCATGGTGAGTGCCCGCACCAGCCCGCCCCGCTCGGCCGATGCATAATTGATGCCAGCTGCATTTGCGAGCGCACACGAGTGCGGCGAGACGGGCGCCGCGGGGCCGGGCGCAGGCAGGCTGGGTCCTGGGTGCAGTGTGTGCACCCGTGCTGCAGAGCGGGGCACACTGGCTGTGCGGGGAGCACCAGGGTCAGGCTGCCCAGGGCAGAGGAGCCCTTCCCTGAGGCATCTCTCTCCACTCGAAGGTATTGCAGGTGCCTGGCCAGGGCCATCACAAGCACCTGGGTGCTGATTCCTCATGCCCAAGCCGTGCACAGGGCACATTTATGGCCCACCACGACAGCAGGGTGGCGAGTGGGGTCAGGGTGCCGC